CTTCTCTGGTATGACCAAACCGGAATACCATGCCGTCCCTGTTATTCACAAGTCACCGATTTACTCACCGCTTCTCGGTTGGTTGCCCCGAAGCAGCGTTGACTCAATTTGTGTGTGTGTGTGTGTGTGCGTGTGTGTGTAGCTCAATTCCTTGTCCATGGGAATTCTCGGTTAAGACAAAGATTGCCTCTTGAGAGGATTCGAACCGACACATCAGGAGTTCAGTGCCGACCAAGTTCAATGATGATTAATCAAGCATACATGCAGGTGCAGAAAACTTGAGCTCATAGCCACATCTTAGCCCAAATCTATAACTACCTTATATAACATTTCGCATTTCGCTTTCATACATTTATCAGCGCGCACTCTCCAAGGTGAGTGCTTATTCAGTTACCACTTGGGTCATTTGGGTTCAAAGGATTAATCAACTGGTTCAACATCTCTTCTATCCAGAAGGGAACCTCGTTTTCGAATCCTTCGACATATATACGTATAGAGGTGTATAGAAATGTGAACTCAGCCCCTTCTCTTGCCGCATTACTGCAGATATTGCCTTAATGACTGAAGCTCCCTGGGTTGATTAGGCAGACACAAAAGTGCCTCGTAGTAAGCCACATGATTCAGCAATGCTGCAAATGGTGTCAGTTGTAGAAGCACGATAGAGACCTACATTCTGGCGGTTACGTGCCCCTCCATTTGCATTGCGTGTCGAAAATTCACTTTGCTCGTTCCCGAGGCGCAACTGATGATTGTAGGATTACTAGGTGGGGAGGGGGGGGCACGTTTTAGGTCTGCTGACTTTCCATCAGGACCCCCAAATTATCCTTGTAGTCGCTGACACTGCAACTGAACCTTTCCTTTACATTTACGTTCTGTTTGCGAAACTTGATCCTGCTTCAAATGAGATTGAGCATGGCACATTTTTGCTTGGTAAGATTTTCTGTTATGTACGGTATTCTGATTGATTTTACTACGCGATCTCGATCTAAATCTAGAGGTGGATCAGTTTCTCTCTTATTGACGTCATCTTCATTCGAGATAAATGAAATACAACGCCTCTCTGTTGCAATATCGCTTCTGATAATAATCTACTCTTTAATCTTAACCAAACAAACTTTAGGGTAGCCCAGCAAGCTTAATCTGCTCGTTGACAATTGCTGTGATATATCCCCATCTACCGGAGACTACCGATCAAATCGATATATCGCCAAGCTATTTTCAGTTCACTTTCACTTATTGCTGACTTGAGGTATAGACTTAATGTTTTTTGTTGCCATAATGTTCAACGTCACTGGCTTAGCTGGCTCCAACGACGACCCGGATCCCTGGCTTTTCTTTCTGTGGGTCACCGCCATGTCCGTAACTAACCGCTGCCAGTCTTTCGTCCACCGTTGTGATCGACACTGTCTGCCCTGAGAGTATTTCATCGTCAGCTCTGACAGTGTTTCAGCAAGTTTTAACGTCTTAGCTTCTTTGCCTCTTTTCTGGTGCCATCGAGGGGATGTGGTTGCGTTCACTGCAATGAGGGTGATAACGCCTGGCTGACGTCTCATCAAATGTCCTAGCCAATGCGGTTCCCGTTCTTTTAGGACGATAGAACGCTGGATGGTATCGCAACGGGCACGAATTGTGGCGTTGACATGTTGTAAGTAAATTGCGTCAAAGAGGTGATTCGTAATCATCGGTAGTCAAAGGATTCTAGAGCTCAGCTCTCAAGCACTTAAAGAAGGATGAGGCGGATGGCCACTTGTAGAACTCTGCCTTTCGTCCTCAAACTGATCTCCCGTTCCTTCTACTATAGCGACTTACAGAGCCGGAGAAAAGAAATAATTCAAACATATTACGGAAGCTGTAAATGCTAATTGCGTTATTGCTTCGAGATATGAATAATGCGATTCGAAGCACGCAACATTTTGCTAGGCAAAATATAGTCAGTAAGAAAACTCGCAGCCGGAATGAACGATAACCGCATTTTGGTTGCCACCTTTGTCGAGTGATGTGATTCAATGATGTAATGGGTTATTGAACACATGAATGAAAAATGAATGAGTACCTGAATTAATTAATAAATGAAAGAGGAAAGGAAAGGAACGAACAGTCGATGAATTAGTGGACTGTTTCACTAAATGAGCACAAGGCACAAACTCATTTTCAGCATCAGAAAATGAGACGCTGAGTTACGTCTTTGACAGTGAGTAGATCGAGCAACCGTTAGCGCTACCCATCATCAAGC